GGGAAGGCGGTGGCCGGAGCTCCTCTGCCCCCGGCTCCCCCGAGTCAGCTCCTGGTCAGTTTCAGCAGCTGCTGAATTGGGGAAGCCGGGGGCAGAGCAGCTCCAATTGTCTGGCTGCCCGGAGCACTTCTGGGTTCCAGATGGTGCCGGACCATTGAATACCGGACCACTGGAGTTTTAGTGTACAATGTCATGGGATTAGATAGAAGATCCTCTCATGGACTGATAACTGGTTAGAAGATAAGAAACAAAGGGTAGGAATAAATGGTCAGATTTCAGAATAGAGGGGTAACTACTTGGGTGTCTTGCTGGGGATCTGTACGGGAGTTCTGTATTGGGACCAATCCTATTAAATGTATTCATAAATGGTCTGATGAAAGAGGTAAGCAGTGAGATGGCAAAATTTGCCAATGATACTAAACTGCTCAAGATAGTTAAAAACAAAGCAGACTGTGAAGAGATTCAAAAGGATCTCGTAAAACTAGGTGACTGGGCAACAAAACGGCAGATGAATGTTAATGTTGATGAATGCAAAGTAATGTATATTGGAAAATATCATCCCAACTATACATACAAAATGATGGGAACTAAATTGGGTATTACCACTCAAGAGAGATTGTGGAGTCTTTGTGAATAGCTCGCTGAAAACATCCACTCAATTTGCAGCAGCAGTCAAAAAAGCAAAAAGAATATTATGAAAAGGAAAGAGAGTAAAACAGAGAAAATCTTATTGCCTCTATATAAATCCATGATACACCCACATCTTGAGTAGTGCCTGCAGATGAGGTCATCTCATCTAAAAAAAGATACCTTTGGCATTTGAAAAAGTTCAGAAAAGGGTAACAAAAATGATTACGGGGTAGGCTGCAGGGGGGACCAGGAGCCAGCATGTGGCTCAGCTGGGCTGTGGGGGAAGGATTACTGTGGGGGAAGGAGGGCCAGGAAGCCCCATGGAGGGGGGTGAGGCCATTAGCAGAGGGGCCAGAGATGACTTCCCCTGGTCTGGCAAAGTCCCTCGTTCAGGACCAGTCAGGTCCCAAGGGTGCTGGACTAGGAAGGTCTAACCTATACTTGCTCCCATAACACAAGAACTAAAGGTCACCAAATTAAGTGAATAGGTAGCAGGTTTAAAGCAAACAAAAGGAAGTATTTCTTCACACAAAACAAGCCAACCTATGGAACTCCTTGCTAGAGGATGTTGTGAAGATCAGATCATTAAAAAGGGTTCAAAATAGAATTAGCTATCCTTCATGAATTTCAGTTCATCAGTGGCTGTTAGTCAGAATGGATAGGGATGGTGTCTACAGCCTCTGTTTCTCAAAAGTTGCTCATGTGATTACCTGTTCTTTTCTTTCCCTCTGGGGCACCTGACATTGGCTACTGTTGGAAGACAGGATGCTGGTTTAGATGGACGTTTGGTATGACCCAGTATGGCAGCTGTTTTGTGTTTGTTTTGCCAAATGGTGAGACTAAGATTTTTTTTCCCCAAATGACAACTTGTGGTCATTTTTGGGTTTCTCCAGCTATTATCTATTCATAGCTAATATTTAGAGCAGCGATTCTCAACCAGGGGCATGTGTATTCCTGGGAACAAATAGAAGTCTTCCAGCTGTACATCAACTTATCTAGGTATTTGTATAGTTTTACAACAGGCTGCATAAAAAGCACTATTGACTTCAGTATGAACTAAAATTTCAGACAGCTGGTCCCCGAGTTACAAACGGTCAATTTACAACCATTCGCATTTACGACCAAACCTCCTATTAAGCGGTCATAAAGGTGGTCCCCGAGTTACGAACACAACCCATGCTTACGAACAGCACGATCGCAATGTAACTCAATGGGGTCCGACCTACAAACATTTTGAGTTACAGCCAAGTGTTTGGTCCGTAACCCATTCGTAAGTTGGGGACCGGCTGTACAGTCAAAAGAAGAAAGTAAGCAATTTTTTAGTAATAGTGTGCAGTGACACTCTTGTATTTTTTGTGTCTTGATTTTGTAAGCAAGTAGTTTAAGTGAAGTGAAACACAAGTGGTACACAAGGTAAATCAGATTCCTGAAAGGGTAGAATAGTCTGGAAAGGTTGGGAAGCAGTGATTTAGAGGACATTACTATAACAATAGAGTCGTCGTCTTAAACCCTTGTACTCCAAGTGGAGCATAGGTCATTTACAAGTCTCCTCCACTTCAGTGTGTCACACAACTTCTAGCTGACTCCAGGAGTACCCCAGTTGTTGTCCTTCAGTCTCAGTAGATCTTCTCCACATTGTCCGAGATCTTCCTCTTTTGCGTTTTCCTTGTGGGTTCCATGTGAGACCTTGACGGACTATGCTGGATGATGGTTTTCTGAGTGTGTGGCCTAGCCATCCCCACTTTCTTCTCTTGATTTGAACGTCAAGTGGTTCTTGTCCTGCTCTGTTCCAAAGCTCCTCATTTGTGACAGAGTCTTGCCATTTGATGTGAAGGATGTACCTCAGGCATCTGTTTATGAATGTCTGTAGCTTGTGATTTGAAGACTTTTTAGTATGCCAGGTCCCGCATCCATACAGGAGCACACTCTTCACGTTCGTGTTGAAGATTCTCCATTTTGTCTTCACAGATATTATTTATGACCTCCATATGGAGCGAAGAGTCTTGAATGCAGCTGTTGCTTTCCCTATCCTAACATTGATATCCTTGTCGGTTCCTCCATCTCTGCCCATAATACTCCCCAAGTAGATGAACTGCTCTGCATTTTCCAGATCATTGCCTCCCAGTGTGATGGTGGTGTTGTTGGACTGGTTCATCCTCATTGTCTTGGTCTTCCCCTTGTTAATGCTCAGTCCAGTCACTGAGGCAGTTTTGTCTAGTGTTGCAACCTTTTCTTCCATGCTTTCATGTTGGTGTGAGAGGAGGGTGACATTGTCAGCAAAATCAATGTCCTCTAGTTGTTTGAAAAGTGTCCACTGAATGCCCCGTTGATGGCCATCTGTTGTCCTGCTCATAATTCAATCCACTGTGATCAAGAACAGGAAAAGTAACAATAGGCACCCCGTCGCACTCCTGAGACTATGCTGAAGGATTCTGTCAAGACACCATTGTGAACAACTTGGCATGTTGAGGGTTCGTACGTTGAACGGATCAGGTTAATAATTTTGGATGGGATGCCATGGTGTTGCAGCAGTTTCCACAAAGTATCTCTATCAGCGCATAGAGTAGACTCATACAAATGGCCTTTCAGTAAATTTGCAGTTTGCAATATTTCCAGTTTGGTTGCCAGAATTTTGTAAAGATCAGATATTTGCCATTGTATTTACAAAGGCTATTTATTGAAGGATTATTTCAATAAAATCTGGTTTGAGTGCTGATTGGATGACTTCATTCAGCTAATATCATGCCAAATGCTTTTTTTCAAGTAATAGAATGGTAAATATAGCCTTGCACTTGAACTCTACCTCTGAGTGTTGTCTAGTGGATATAAGGGAGTGGTAGCTGATCTCTGTGACCCTTTCAAGAAGAATACCGTACCACTATAATCCTATTTCAATTGGACGGTTGCTTTGAAGAAGCAGGAACTTTGTCATATTGTTACATTTTTCAACACTGTATATTGTTGGTTTTGTATGGCTCATATGGTAGCATTCTACTTTGATAACATGTATGCCCAATCTAAACTGCTTTATTGGAATTTTACAGGCATAGTTTTTGTGAATCCTCTTTAAGTAGTAGGCACAAACATGTGAGTATACTATCAGAGTCAATACTAATAGTTGCTTTATATTTAATTCGACAAAAATCTTGTGCAGCATTTATAAAAAACAGATTAGGATTTGCATTCCATCATACTAATAATGCTGGTTCACTGAGCTGGTGCAATATGACTCAGTCCTTAACCCGTTATAGCAGTACCTTTGCAAATTCTTGACAAATTTATTTTCTATCAATTGTGAGATGTAATTAAATGAGTATATGGCTATATCAGTGAGAAACATAAACTGTAACATACCAAAAATATAATGAAAGTAAGGGTTATGGAAAGAAAAAAAAATCATATGCACTGAAAAGAGAGTTTTACTCACTATATTTATCATATTCAAGTAGCCCAAAAGAAAACTAACTATGCTGCTTTCTTTTGATCTGGATTCAGATTAATCCGTATAGAAAATGTCAGAGAAAAGGTACATTAGATAACTATTCTAAGCCACTTAAACGTTAGCAGTGTATAAAAACATGTCCACCATAAGGTAA